TTACACTATCATGTAAGTTTATTGAGACATTGGGAGTCAAATAACTGACATATCTGGAGTATAACACCATTAAATTAGATAAATTTTGTTATCATGACCTACTAAACATTTTATTAAATGCGAGGTGATGCATATCAATATTCACTTAATTTAAAACAAACAGTACTACATTATACATGAAAAGAAATACAAATAAATCTTACTACTTAAGGGGGAAAGTCCTTGCACTGAAAAAAATTACATAAGAATTTCTTAAATATATAATATGAAAAAAAATGTGACATACCATATGAAGAGATTAAATAAGTTATATGAACCCACATGATTGGTTAATGTACAAGTTCAGTTCGATTAGAATAGAACCCAGAGTCTCATGAATTCTATACTATTATGCCCTATCACAGGACTATGAGATAAGTTAGCATAGTACATAGAGAAATTTGCTTTAGTACTTAATGTGTTCAGGGATTTAGTTCAAAACATCTACAACAATTTACATTAACATATCCTAGTAAAGCTAGCTGTCCTACTATTAAACAGAAACAAAGGAAATTCCTTAAATGTATTCATGACAACAGGCTCAATCTACTGCTTCAGATATGCTTTTGTTTTTGTTTTGTTTTGTTTTGAAATTCCAGGCTTTGTCTTACAGGCCAGGCTTTTCACACACCTATCAAATCTCTAGGCTGCCAAAGCTTGATCTGAGTGGCTAGCTAGGGATTACAATACTATGAATGTGAGCTAAAGACAAATTCTATTTGCCTGCGAATTAACGTATTCTTTATAAAAGGAACTTGAAATTCTAGAAGATATTAAAAGAAAATCATCATAAAGCTCTTGGTTGAAATTACACAATGTTTTCTCTGATTTATTAGTGAGGAAGCTTGGGGTCTAACTAGAAGTTATTTTTTCACTTTCCAGTGGTGTACAGATTAAATGCAATTCCATTGGTCCTACTGATAGTTCTTTTAGAGGAAGCTCAGGGGGCATAACTATAATGATTTCCAGGCTTGCTGAGCTATTTATAAACATACATCATTATCAACTCATTTTTCAGGCAATAAACTGAACCTTACATGAAGCAATTCACATTGTGAGGTTGCTCAATGAAATTTCATTTCCAAATTAAGGTACAGATAAAAAAATATGCACAATGATATGTATCTGAACTCAAAACCATTGTGTCTCAGATTTTCTAAGAATTGCAGGTGTTCAGGCAATTCTGTTCATCTTAGACTATCATCTAAGATAGGTTTTCTTTGATAAATTCATTTCAAGTTGAATTTTTCCACTAAAGTAAAAAAAAATGAGCTACATGTAAGCATTCTTAAAAGGGCTTCCTGTCAACTGGAAATAATAATATTCACCTGTTATTAGCATAAGTCACACTGCCATTTCAAAAGTACCAGTGACTCATGTTACAAATGAAGCTATTTTTAGGACAGTGCATGAATGCTGTTAATAATATTCCTTGAAAAACACAATTTGATCAAGTATTTTGTGGATACAAAAATGGAAAGATATGCGTATGTTCTCAAATTACTATAAATGAGAGGTACTTTTGTTGGCATCTTTGTGTCAGATATCCTTATAGACATGTTATAGATATCTGTTGTATATTTTACACTTTAAACAACAAATGTAAAATCATTTTGTATACACTTGAACCGTCATGTTAGCACTCTGAATTCTCTTGTAATTGCTGTGGCTGTGAAACCCTAACAAGTATATTCCAGAAAAAAGTTGTGAAAACTAAACATGAGTAGGCAGAATTCTACAACATTACAATTCCTTTGATTAAGATGGAAGATTCACTGTTAAAAAAAACTGTTCAAAACTGTACTGGGGAAAACCATCCTTACAAAGGAATTCTGTGGCTGGCAGCCATGTGAAATACTGTATATTCTAAACTTCTTAAGCGCGCGCACACACGCGCGCGCACACACACACACACATCCTTTTTTAACCACTGTCAATTAGTCATTTTCTCATTTGTCTTTTTGAAAAACTTAAGATGAGTGTCTGCCTGACCCTCACACAATGAGACTCCAGAGAAAAGCATTCCAGCTGACTGACAACCCGATTACTGGTTCATACTAGAAGTGCTGACGCAACCCTCAATACACAGGACACAAGAGGCATGGTGCTGCTTTTGCTTAAAACAAAAAAACGGGTTATAAACAGCCAACAATGCATATTTGGTACCAAAATTAAAATGCTAGTTTAAAAATAATAGCTAAGGGGAAAGTTTCTGTAGAAACTGGGCCTAAGTAGGTCATACTATAGTCAGAAGAAACACTCCAGAAATTTTCCTTCTGTGAACACAAGCTTGCCTCTTTGTGGCAGTTTTCATTCTAATTAAGACAAAGGTTTTTAATTAAGCCCTAAGATCCTTTACTGAAGGACCTTCAGTAAAGTTGTCCTTGGTGATTTCTCCCAAGGTAATTGATTTCAAGAGACAATGAAGTGGATCTCTTAAGGAAAGACATTTCTCTCTACCTTCTGTTCCAGCACACAGCAAACAGACTGAAAAACGCTGTCTGCCCTTTGGACCAAGCAAGAAAAGCACTACTGTTTTCAATTCAAGCATCTCCCTTTCATCTCAAAAGAAGGTTCAAGTCCACATAACATTTTAAGAAAGCACATTTTGTAAGTGGAGACCTAGCAATTTTTATTTTACTCTCTCCCCCTACTTGCTGTTTGCCACCAGTGAAAAACAACTTAACTGTTACAATAGAAAGTCAAGAACTTGTTCCAGATAGTGTCAAACCAAACCATCTCTACTTCTTACCCGTTTGCTTACAAACCCTATCTTTTCTAGGCTGAAAATTTATTTTTTAACATAAAATAAGACTAACATTGATTTTCAAGAACCCAAATGCTAGTTATGAATACAGGAAAGGTGGAAGGAAAAACCTTTTTATAAAGGGGAGGGGGTAGAATCAGAAACTGCCTGACTTTGATTTTTATATACTACTATTACTGCTGTATTTGCATTAAGCTTGTTTCCCCTGCCCCGCGCCGCCCCCTCCCCCCCTCCCGCCAGAGGAAGGAAAAGCTGAAATAAATGGGTATGGAGGCAATTAAGAAAAGATTAGCAAACACTGCATACAGCTCAAACAAACTTGAGCTGGCTACCTTCCATTCCCGTCCAAAAGAAAGGATAACGGCCTGAAAAGCAAATGGAAGTTGAAGCTGGTTGCTCTAACCTATCTGAAAAGTCTTTATGCAATCAGAGGGCTATTATTTCAGGAGACAGAGAGAAAGGGGCAAACGATTCACGTTGCTACGGAGACCCGCTGAAGCTGGCATTCCTACATAAATTTCCATTTCTATTGAAGACGGGAAAGAAAAGATATTTTCTCCAAAGTTTGTTTGGATCCCCTGGTTACTGAAGAAAGACATTTTACCGATTTATTTTATCTTTAGTTGCAAACAACCAACCCTAAAAGAAAGAAAAGACCTAAATGTTGACCTCCTGCTGCCAACCAGTCCTCTCCACAGTGAATTAATCAACAAAGAGGAAACCCTTCAATGGGAATCTGAGGTAATAGCTAAGAAAAAGCCTTTTGTAAACACAAAATTAAATTTATGGAAGGAACTTAACCAAGTGAACTAAGCTCTAACAAAAAATGAAAGACAAAGGAAAACCAGATTTTTGTGGCTTCTTGTGCTATTTCAACTTTATTGAAACTTGAAACGCTTACTGTAAAGCTTTAAAAATAGTCTTAGAGAAGATATGAAACTGTCAGGAAGGAATTTGATGAGTTTCTCAGATGAGAAAAGAGAAGAAGAGGAGAGGAGTGGAGAGGAGAGGAGAGAAGAGAGGAGAAAATAATCATGGGCAAGTCCTTCCCTTTATCTCCCTTTGTGCAGACACCAGCAGCTGAAGAATCAACATTAAAAGTGGAACAGTTTATAACAAGAAATTAGAAGTTGGCAGAATTCGGCTAAGGGAATAATTGGAGCGATAGGGATAGGGAAGACAGATGGACGGTCGTCGGGAAAAGAATAAAGCCAAATAATCCTCAAGGGGCTGGTGATCCCTGGGGCTACCTGGTACTCCATCCCCCATCCCATCCATTTGCAGCTTTCAGTGCTGGCTGATTAAAGCACAACTTTCCAGACAACTGTGAGTAGCTAGCTCATAGGGCGGAGATAAAAGCAATTGGAGGCAGAGGAGTTCTTACTGTGGGAGAGAAAGAAAGGCAACTCAGAACCAAGGATGGTGTCACGGGGGGGGGGGGGGGGGGGGGAGGGACGGGAGGAAGGAAAGCGTTCTCTCTCCCAGTTCTCCATATCACCACCACCCCCTCCCCCCAAAAATTTAAGGAAATAAAATCCTAATCCTAATGGAAATTCGTTGGGGAAAACCCAGATATGGTGGAGTAAAGCGGGCAGAAACGTGGGCCCTGAGAGGTAACCGCAGGCAAATTCCTCTTTGAAAGGGCAGCGGAGACCCCACACATCTGCGTGGAGTTGGGGCGGTTCTGCCCGTTTCTTCTTTCCACGGGGGAGTGGAAGGCGTTGCATTATTTTACTCAGCCACATGGTTCTCGCTTAAAAAGATAACAATTTCCCCAAATAGCCTACGCGTTACTCCAGAGCGGGAGGAATGGCCCGGGGGGCCGGGCGAGGGCAGGGGCTGTGGCTTTGGGATCCGAAACCGGGAAAGCAGGGCAGGGGGGCCGGAGGGGCGCACGCGATGGCGAGGCTGCAGCCCCAGGGGCCGCAGTGGCCGCGGGGAGGAGGGGCCGTCCGGGCGCGGAGGGGCGCGGGGCAGCCCGCGCGGGAGTGAAGGTCCCGGCGGAGGAGAGCCGGGCAGCTGGGGCGGGAGTAGACGCCGTCCGGGCGCAGGGGCGCGGGGCAGCCCGGGCGGGAGGAGGCGCCGTCCGGGCGCATGGGAGCGGGGCAGCCCGGGCGGGAGGAGGCGCCGCCCGGGCGGAGGGGCGCGGGGCAGCCCGGGCGGGAGGAGGGGTCGCGTCGCACGAGGCCCTCACCGCTGCTGAGCGTGGACTCGCAGTGCCAGATGTCCAAGCTGGCGGGCTTCCGGCAGGACTCCCACAAGGACAGGTAGTACTGGTGGTCGGCCGTGACCCAGGCCGGACTCAGCACGGCTCCCAGGTCCAGACACAGCGCCAGGAAGATGCACACCAGCCCGACCAGCTTCAGCGGGGTCAGCACCGACACGCGCACCTCCTCCATGCCGCTGCCCGCCGAGGCCATGCCGGGGCGCCGCTGCCGCCCGCCCCAACCCAGGCGAGGACCCCAGGCGAGGTCGCCAGGCGGGACCGGAGAGCCCGGAGCCCGACCTCTCCACCAGCCGAACCGCTAAGCGCGGGACTGGTGTCCGATCTAGGGATCAGAGCCTCCTGCCGAGCCGCCAAGGTGAGTCGGCCAGAGAGACTACTGGCCAGATGGGGGTCGCGGGCGGCAGCAGCGACACTGATCCTACCCAGGACCTTCGCAGCGCGCTCTGCCCGCGCCAGCACTTGCTCCGCCTGGGCACTGCCTGGCTGGCTCCGCCCAGGGCCCGCCCCAGGCTGCAAGAGGCGGCGCCTAGGCAGAGGGGCGGGGGATTGGCACCTCGGCGGCGTCCCGCCCGGGTTCTGGGCGCCTGGACTCCCGCCCACTCCGACCTTTCCCCCCGTGATCGCAACCCAGCCCGTGGCCCACGCTTGACCAAGCTTGTCTGAGGTCGCTCATTGTCCTGCTTGCCCAGTTGCATGAGTTTCCTTTTCTGAGGGAGTAAGGGTGGGTCGTTTTCTAGAAGGTTTCCCATAAAGATTCCTACTTGTCCTAGCCTGTGGCCTTTGGAGCAAGATTAGGTCCCCAGTCTCAGTGATGTAACACTCTCTTCCTAGGCCAATTTCACACCTCTAGGGATTTGTAGGAATGAAGAAGAAAGTAACGAAAAGCATTTTGCCCTCTTTTCAAACCGCGATCACGCTGAGAAGCCCCCAGGACTTTATTTCGTTAGTTCTTTCCCAAGCTTGCTGCCGCTTCTATTTTCTGAACTTGCCTGCTTTTACGCCCCCTATGAAGGGCGTTTGCTCAGGGAACCGCAGGAGCTAAAATGGGAAAGAGATTTCCGCTAAATGTAAAGTCAACCTTATTTGAATTTCAGCTGCTCCATCCTTTGGGTGTTGGCTCAAACCTTAATTCATTTCCCTTTGTATTATGCCAAGATAGATCAGAATCTGGATTTGGGTATTAAGCTGTCCTTGTCTTCAGCAAGCTCTATCACAACGCTTATATGGGAAAAGTGATACAGCATTCCTGAATGGGAAACTAGGGAACCCACGAATGTTTACTGGAGAGGCTACAGATTGGGACTCAGCTCAAAAGGACATTGTCCTGGTTCTGGAGAGTAAGTGTTATTATCCTATAAGAGAGGACTAAACTCCTTGAAACAGAAATTGGCGTTTTGTAATTGGCTAGTTCATCTAGTTCATTGTATGGTTGGCAAGTTATTTCTGTTATCTCTTAGATTAGATTTCATCTCCCTTGAATTAAAAAAAAATAACTATTGACTAGATCATTCCTGACTGGAGAAAGAGTTGTTCCTGGATCACTCACGTGGTGGAAACTCTGAATGAAACTGAAGTTCTATACTCCAGGAACAATCTCTAGGAGTTCCACACATTCTGTTCTGTCTCTAGCCCTTACATGCTAAATAAAGAGACACTGTGAAGGGCAGAGAAAGGAGATTTGGCAACTTAGAAGAAAAAATGTAGCTGCACCCAGGGAGAAGCCAGGGTCTTGATAAACAAGGCATTGATGCCTGGCAGGTGGTCTGGTCCTTCATGGATTCTAAAATGGCTGTAAAGAGACTGAAGGAGACAATGGTTCTGGACAAAAGATACAGATATAAAGTGGAGGCTGGAATGCCTTGCTTTTATCTGGCTTTCAGTTAGTTCAGAGGCTCAACGGAAGTGTCAGTTGCTTCAGCAAATCCAACTTTTAAGCCTCTGTTACAAAAATTGGTGTTAAGACCTCGAGAATGGAAAAAACAGCTACCCTCCTTTATGAAATATCCTCACTACTACAAGATTTCATATATTTCTTGGCAATAATTTTGTCTTCAACCCACCTCTTTCATAGTCTGACCACATCTCGACCAAAATATCTTGAGTGGAAGCAGCAACCAAATTAATATCAAATGCCCAACAATAAAATTCAACTCAATGAGAAAGAGAAAATCTGGCTTTTCTTACCTTTGTAAATCAAAGGATTGCAAACTGTCCCTTACTACTCTACAAAACAGCCTGGTTCACACTGAGCTTCTTAACCTGGATTCCCCAAACAGCTTCTTGTCCTATGAAGTGGAAAGAAGTCTAAGGGAACACTGAAAACTAGGAGGGGAAGGGAGATTAGGCTTGTGATGGAGAGGAAGGGACATTAGGCTTGTGATGTTTCCATTTTACCTGGATTTATGTTTTAGAGTATGCAGTATTTATTCAAAAATAAGCTTTACGAAAATTTCTTGAGCTTACCCTCCTAGTTAAGTATAAATAAATCTTTTCTCTTTAAGTTCTATTTCCTTCCCTTTAGTAAGAATATTTTGGAGTCAGCTAATATTTTTCCTTTTCATTATTCCCTGTAATTCAGGCTTTCTTTCCTCTATCACCCTTATGGAAACTCCCAGCCCCAACATTTATTTAACTTTATCATTTCTGGATTGTTCTCAGCTGCTTACTTGAGTTATTCTGTCCTTTTTTAAACTACTTACACTATTTTCTTTATGTTATTTTCAAAATTAGAAAACCAAGACATTTCTTGAAAAGACTTGGAAAAATTATATTATGTGAAGTAAGCCAGGCCCAAAGAAACATAGGTTCCATGATTTCCCTTATTTGCAATAACTAGTATATGTCTAGGACAAGCAGAAAAGGTCAAAAGCTATGTACATATGACCATATAAGATGATGTTAAGTGAAATGAACCCCAAGATAGGGACACAAGAGGTTTTATCTTTCTTGCTGTTGTTTTTTTAATGTATTTATAATGTACTATGTAATTTTTGGGGGGTTCTTTTATATGTTCTTTCCCCATGATATAACCCATGTTTTCACTGTATTTGATTCCGATGCCCTGCATCTTGTATATACATTTTTCTAATTTGGGAAGGAGAAGGGAAATAACAAAGTGCTGAAATAAGATTTCAGGGTGACCCATTGTAGGATGAGATGTACAAGACACTATGTTGAAAACAAACTCTACAACATGGGGGGGGGAGTTGGGGAGGTGGGGAGGGAAGGGATAGTAGGGGAAAACAAAGGAGGGAATAACAATGCTCTATAGGAAATGTACTTGTTACCTTACTCATGTAACTATAACCCCTCTGTACAGAATCTTTACAATAAAAATATATGTTAACAAAACAAGCCATTTCTAACAAAAGACCAAAGTCTCCTAAAATGCTCATTGCTGTATCAATCATTTATAAAATTTACTCATCAAAATGCAGCAATCTGCTATAGAATTCACTATCAAAATATAGAAATGTCTCAAACAGCTGGGCACCAGTGGCTCAAGTCTATAATCCTAGCTACTACACAAGAGGCTAAGATCTGAGGATCCTAGTTCAAAGCCAGCCTGGACAGGAAAGTCCTTGAGACTCATCTTCAATTAACCACCAGAAAACTGGAAGTGGAGTTGTGGCTCAAAGTGGTAGAGCACTAGCCTTGAGTAGAAAAGCTCAAGAACAGTGCCCAGGCCCTAACAAAAAACAACAATAACAAGAAGACAAAACCAAATGTCTCAAACAAAAGTACTGTTTACTTTTTCTAAGTTTATAGTAATCTTGCCCAGTGGAAAAACATATTTCAAACTGATATGAGATGAATTGTGTTTTTAAATTTAATTTTATTGTAAAGATGATGTACAGAGGCGTTTCAGTTACATACATAAGGTAATGAGTACATTTATGGTCGAATATTGTTACCCCCCTCCCTTGTTTATCTCCTACTTTCCCTCCCCCTGGACTCTCCTTCCCTCAAGTTGTAGAGCTGATTTTCAACATAGTGTCTTGTGAGTATCACTGTTGGAGTGATTGACACTTTGTCCTTTGTCTTACCATTTTGTTGTTCCTCTTCCCTTCCCCAAATCAGATAAATGTATATACAAGACACAGGGTACCAAAATCAAAGACAGTGACAGCAGGGTATAAACTAAAGGAAAAAAAGAACAAAGGAAAAAGAAATAACCTCATATAGTACATTAAAGTCAACAATAACAAAGAGAAACCTCTTTTTTCCATATCTTGGAGTTCATTTGGATTAACATCATTTTATATGGTCATATGGACATAGCTATTGAGCTATTGTGATCCTCTGCTGGGACTATTATAGACATATACTAATTAAATTACAAATGAGGGAAACCATGGAGCCTATGTTTCTTTGGGTCTGGCTTACTTCACTTAAATATCTTTCCATTTCCTTTGAGTGGGGCAATGCCATTCTTTCTGATGGAAGCATAGAATTCCATTGTATGTATGTGTATGTATGTATATATATATATATATATCACATTTTCTTTATCCATTCATCTACTGAGGGGAATTAAGTTGGTTCCATATCTTAGCCATGGTGGAATTGTGGTTTTGTAACCAGGAATTCCAGGTGAGAGGTCTAACTCCAGGAAATGTACCCATGGTCAACACCAATATATTGGGTCTAGCCACTCACCCAATATTCTAAACAAAGAGGTGAGGAATGGTGAAGGGCAGAGGAAGGAGATTTATTATGTGAAACTGTCATGCCATTAGAAGAGGTGACGTAAACATTTCTGCTCATCTTTGGGGTACAGACATGGACTTCGAGTTTAAGTAGAGAAAGAATTGAGGCAGGAGATAAGAGATATGTGTAACTGTCAAAAAGTCACACTCTTTTTCTCAGTTTTGGTTCTACAGAAGCTCCAGAGAGTACATAGTTATGTTGCACTTGCTTCCCACGAAACTACTCCTGCTTCAGAATTCTGTATCCTCATTCTAAGGAATTGTCCTCATCTGAGAGGTGGTCTGTCCAGCAAGGTTACTACTCTTTCCTCAGGAGTAGTTTTGGTCCCTTGTCATAAAGATGTCATCAATCATTCTTATCCTACTGGAAACCAAGGTGATTGCAGCGGAGAGATTAAAGGAGACAGATGTAAAATGGAAGCAGAGATACAATTAGTTTCTTCCTTAATTTGTGGGCCCAAGTAAAGAGTCAGTGCTTCCCAATAAAAGCCCTTTCTAATCACCTGTTACACTTTTGAGTTAGTCCATTCAGTGTAAATAAATATGCATCTAGTGATGCTGCTGGATGTCCAGTAATTTATAGTTACAGTATGTGCAACGTAGTATCCTTCAAATATCTGAAAAAAATGAATTTCTCTTCACAACTGGCTTGCAAATTGTCATATAAAGTAGAATTAGAAAAGTGGGAGATGCAACAATTAGCAAGCAGTAAATAAAAACCTAACAAAA